GGAATCGGTGTTTGGGCCCGAATCCATAGGAAAACACATAACGCAACACGAGCACCGTAGCCGTAAACCTGTTTCTGGAAGACCCAAGCGAGATGCCATAACGGATCCAAACGCGGGATACCTTAAAACATGTCTTAACGTATATACAGGAATGGTAGCATGCTTGCTTTAGTTGATGCACCCCATTATGACCATGGGGTTTTGGCAACTTTCTGGTGTTCGGGGGTGGGGGGTAAGGACGTCCACTTGGCCAATGTCGTCGTGCGCGTCGTGTCCAACAACAACACCACCAACACCACTATCGCCATCGTCCTCTTCAGCAGCATACACTTTAAAGAACTGGGGTGCATGTTCTACGTTTGCGGTGTCACAGCTTCTCCGGGGGGTACATTCGTTTATAATGCGTGCATGCGGAGCATTGCATGCCTACTTGCAAGGACAGTATATTCAGACTTGCCTTCTCTCTCTAGGACTGCCATTGTCGAAGGCATGTGCATTTCCAGACATCTTCAAGCCTTGCAGCGTTGATGGCGCATTGGCTGGAGGATGATGTTCCATCCTCCGAACTTCTGGTGGCATTGAGTGCTGCACTTGTGCTGCGATCCAATGGTCGGCCTGGACCTCCTTGCTTGCAAGGTTTTTGAAAAATCCCTTGGCTGGAGGCAGACGTCGCGCACAAGAGATTGATCCAAGTGGTGTTTGCAGAATTTCAGTGCAAACATAAAAATAGGAGTAGACCATACTAGATCTTATCCTCCCCAAATAGACTTCCTCCAACTATGTCTTCTGCATTCCCAGGAGCTGCTCCGCCAACTGAGAGGGTTTCTGATGTCAAAGGCGTTAAGCTGCTGTCTAAACTGTCTTCTTCCAGCAAGATCTTGTATTCTCGCAACAAGTGGTGCCAACGAGCCAAAGCTTTTGTCGTTCTCGGCCGAATGGTTAATAGAAGTCGTCCTGGCCAGTGCAAGATGGCCGGCTCGCAGACGCTCGATCAGATTTGGAGGCATGTGAAGCGATATGTGCTGTACACCCTGGCCTTGAAAAGGCCTGCTGGGTCTGGCCTTCAGCTGAACCCACGCCTCTTGCAGTACGGTTGGTCTTTTATGTCCGTTTCAGTGCTCAGAAGCAGCTCTTGACGGAACTCAGTCGGCTGGCCGACTCCAAGAACAACAAGACGTGAAACAAAAAAGGGCCTCCAGAAATCCGCTGAGCCAGTCGCTAAATATGCCACACAAACCAGCACCTTCTTTCTTCGACGAAGCCAAGCCTGGTAAAAATGTTGTATTCAAAGCATCCGAAACAAGCCGTTTAGTCAAGCATAAGCTTGGCCACTTTTGGTCAGAACGCGGAACCCATGGATGGTGCCAAACCACCATGGTCACAAAGGCGCGCATTACCTTGCTTTAAGGAGGTTAGGATTTTCTTTGAAACCCTAACACCTGGACCTGATAAACGTCATCAAAACCCCACACCTTAAAGATCCTCGAGCCACTCAGCGCTACGAGCCACCGAGCAAGTTTGAAAAGGCTTGGGATGTAGATGAGTAGATGGGGCCGTTCTTAGGAATCCAACAAAATAGAACTCAAGGTTTGAATGGTTAAAGTCTCTAGGAACAAAGCTAAGTCACACGGGAGCCCGTTAAAAAATGGTTCCGGAAACGGAAGGAACGGAGGGCTCGTAAAGCTTGAGAAAACACAAGACAGATGGTTGAGGTTTCAGGGCTTCAAGTTTGCACAAGTCTTGATGCCAATCAAGGAGTTTGTTCGGACTGTGCTCTTTTTGGTGGAAAACTCAAGTTCCAGAAGACCTGAACCTCGAAACCGATATTTTGATGCTTAAGACCGCAACACTATAGAAAGACTTACGTAGTCCTAAGACTTGAGTTTGAGGGTTTGTAGGCGTTAGAATATGTGGACTTGGGCCTTTTCAAAGAGCTAGGGATTCAAGACCGTCGCACAGAAACTCTAAACCCTAAATCCTACGCCCTAAACTCCATAGTCTCTAAACCCTAAAACCCTTAACCCTAAATCCTAAACCCTATCCTGGCCGAAAGCCAAGGAAGGACTTCGAAGGGATCAGCGCCTGTGTTTGGGACGGCTACTGCAAGGCCAATCGGGCCTGTGACGGGAAGACCATGGCCGAGCCTCTCTGTCTGATTTTTTTTGTTGGGGCGGAGAGGCGTGGGATTTCATCAGGGTTTAAGTAGGGTTTACGGTGCTCAAGGCCTTTAGGGTGTCGGAAAGAGCATTGCACTTGTGGAAACCAGCGCCGCACTTTAGAATGTCGGGTTTGAGGGTTATCGTCGGTATCCCAGGATGAAGATGTGAAGTCCAAGAGATGTGTTTGGAACAATGGGGATGTTCGGAGTGTCGTTGATGGTTTAATGGTCTGTGATTGTTAAAGACGCCTCAATATTTCGAAGTACTGTCTATTTGAGTCTTTGCAAGCTTTACGAAGTTCTGACGGCACATCTCCGTAAACAGAATTCCCGCTCTCCAGGCCCCTGCAGTTCAGCACCCTAACCTGCGGATAGAGGGCCGGGCCACGCCAAGGTACTTCCATGAGACCTGCCGGCTGACTTTCGTGGATGGCACCGGCGCTGTCGTGATTATCGACAGTGCTCAATTCTGCAACATGGTGCAGACCCGATATACAACCCCAATGCACAAGGACTACGCCCACCTTCGGGACGACCCTCGCGTTGGCAGCCGTGATGCCCTCTTGTCCATAGATTTCGGTAGCCTCTCGGCACCCATCGCCATGGTTGTTCTTACCGTAGCACACCCGCCATGCTTGTGGACCGATCTCTTGACCGTCGCGAAGCTTCAGGGCAAGTGGTGGATTGTGCACAAATCCTCCGTGAAGGATCCCTTCCTCGAGGAGGAGAAGAAGTGAAGAAGCAGAACCCTGAAAGTATAAGCCAAGCCTAACAGCCAAAACTCTGAAACTCATGCTCTTATGTTATTCCCTAACCCATGTTGTCCCGATTTCGCACAGCTTTTCATTCCTGAGGCCTGAGAAACCCGAACGTCCTAGGTTCCCGAAACCCTAAAATATGAACCCGAAACCCGGATTAAGCATGCATCGTCCAAGTCGCGCGCAGCCTGCTGAGCTCTGATCCGTCAGACCTCAGCAGACCATCTTCGGCCCAGTTTTCCATGGCGCAGCCCACAGCGAGTTGGCACCCCAAGCCCACACCAAACCTCCCAGCTCCAATTGAACGCCTTACAGCCGAGATTCCCTGGAGCGCTACAAAAGCTTGGCTTCATTCAAAACCGTCCTTTGCAGGTACGTGCTTTCGGTAGTTCTCAAGTCTTTTCGCACACAGGTGCCCGAAATTGTCGTGGTCTCCAAAGGTGAAGTGTAAGGAGTGATTATCATCAAGCTATGATGTAAGGCTTTACATGTCTGGAAAAAAGTCCAACCATTTCGGACAATCCGCAGTCGAACAGCTCAGCCGCCCACCCCCTCAAACACCAAACTTGGTACAGAAGGTATTATGGTTGTAAAAATTTGGAGGCTGAATGACTTTTGCAGGGGGCCTAATGGTCCGTACAAATAATGTAGACCTCAGCAAGGACACAAAGAGAAGGAGCAACGAAACAGATCGTAAACGACCTTGCTGCAGCTCCATCGCCTGTGACCTCATGTCTTAGTAGCTAAGTGGGTACCTTCACCTCTTGCCAGGCGGGTATATGAAGAATCCTATCACAGCCAACAAAGTAACCGGTTCTGGGCCTGGGAACTCAGCTACCAGGAAGTTAGCCATGCAGATCGCAGGTAGAAGTTGTCGCATATATACAGACTCGACCTTTCAGATCACGAGCCAAAGCTGAAGAACTGGCTCCAAACCTAGCATACTGTGATCGTGCCCGTGGTTCATGAAGCCTTTTGCAACTGTGCCAGAGCATTCGGCCCCGAAGCTATATCATAAATGCATGTTTGAAGAGGGCCTAGGGCGAATCCGAGAAGCGTGGGCTGCGATGAGAGAGAGGGGCCCAGCCGTGACCCTGCACACGGCATCAGACCAGGACGCGGGATCGTGAAAAATCCAGGGCATTGCAACGGTGCGGGTACGCAACTGCATGCAGCTACCATCGTCATTAATTAGACCCTGTTATAACACACGGCAGAAGAAGGCCCTATAGCAATACGGCAAGCACGGCATGAGCCTCCTGCGCTTGTTAGTTTGTCTAACGCTGCAGCGTGGAAGGGCTTCGGTGACCTAACTCAGCCGTTCACCCTCCTGAGTCAACGTGCAAAACATTTCCTGCGTCACAGACGAGTGCTCTGTCCCGAAAACCCAAACCCTAAACCCCCCAAAAGTATGGAGAATAATGGCATTTTACAAGGTTTGGGCAATTATGTTGCTTACTTGTGGGGGTCTAGGTAGACCTTGAAACCCAAACCCCGAACCTGAAGCCTCAGGGTTGAGTTTCGGCTATCTCCCTTGGCGATCGACACTCTCTTTCCAGTCTTATGCTAGTACTCTTCATAGCATAGCGCATCCAAAGCTCCGTGCCGCATCAACATGCTGTAGACCCCGATTAGAAGATGGAACGTTTAGCCAGCTGTGCATTCAGATTTATTGGGGTCACAGAGCCGCACAGAGACTTCGGCAGCCCTGGACTTGAGGTTTGGGCGTCATTAGGGTTTAAGGGTTTAGGGTTCAGGGTGTAAGTATTTAAGGGTTTAGGGCTTAAGGGTTTAAGGTTTTCGGGGTTAGGATTCCATCTGCCTGCACGGCCACCGCATTGTGGAAGCTTTGGTATCTCAACGACTGTTTGAAAGCTGTTAAGAACTGCCTCCATTTTTCTGACATGGGTTCCGGGGTAGATCAACAATTGCGGGTGAAAACAGTCTGGTACAGAATCATCCTGCGATAAATGGAACCGTAAAAGGGAAAACCCCAAACTTTTAAACCCCAATCATACAGCTCACAAGGCACCTGAAGATACGCGTGGGCTGGGCAGGAAACACTCTCCGAGCGTTTCGCCGGAGCCTGGACACCGAACCCCAGCAGTAATATAGGGAACTGGATGGTTAGTACTGCTGTTTATTCCTGAGGGTTCCAAAGAAAGCAATATATATATATATACATATATACATATACATAGCTATATATAGGTCCGTATAGCAGAAGTCTTCACGCAAAACCGAAGAGCTGCAGCAGGCACGTCTTCACATTTTTCATCCTTTCCATGGCAGTCTTGAGTGGGTCGCAGCCTCGGACACCTTTCGACGAGGCCCATTGCAAGTTGAGTGTCGGGAGCTTGAGTTCAGCGTCAGAGATGCTAAATCCCTCAACCCTACCTTAAGAACCCAAAACCTACCTTTTTTGTAGGGTCCCTATAGATCCCATATTAGGGTTTATAATGAGAACCTACACAAAAGTGGGTTTCAGGTTCTTAAGGTAAACCCTAAACTCGGACCTTCAGATGCCATGCCTGCCTTGCGGGTGTGTGAGTCGAAACCCTAAACTCGAAGACAAAGCGTGTTGGGGTAGTGGAGGTTACCCTAAACCCTAAACCCCTAAACCCCTAAACCCTAAACCCCTAAACCCTAAACCCTAAACCCTAAACCGTGTGACGTCCGTTGTCCGGCTCGGAGGGCCCAGGGTCTTGGGAAGTTTCGTGCTCTCGTAGCTTCTATTAACGGTTAAGGTTCGCGCTAGAGGTTTAGGGTAGATCGTTTAGGGTATTTGGCTTTTTAAAGTTTAGGGTTGAGGCTGTAGTGGCTATAGACAACAGATTTGAAACCCAGTGGCCTGATTGGTTTGCGAGCCACGCCAGAATTGTAGATGGCCTTGAGGTGTAGAGGTCATTTCGTTTACGCGGGGGTCGTGTCTGAAGGTAGAGTGGCTTGCTTAACCCTAAACCCGCAAACCCAAAACCCCTAAACCCTGAACCCCTAAAGTCTTAAACCCCTAAGCCCCTAAGCCCTAAACCCCTTAACCCCAAAGCCCGAAACCATGGTTTCAGTCGAGGTTCGTGCTTGAGCTGCAGACTCCCCCATTCTCAAAGGAAACTCCCAGCTCCGCAGCTTCTACTACTTCTACCCAAAACCCTAGACAGCAGCTACTATAGGGTTGAGGGTTAGCTCCTTACCTTAAGACGAAGCGGAACCTCCAGGAGTTGCTGTACTTCGTGGCTTAGTGCGTCTCAGCGCTAAGGTGTTCAGTGGTTGCGGGGCCGGGGTTTCGAGATATTGTATTTAGCTTCAGTGTTCAGGGCTTTGGCCAAAGCACTCTCTTAAGCAGTAAGTCCAGATGATTCGTCGTGCCGCAGAACCCTCTTCTGTTGATTCTCGCTGATGCTAGTTCATGTGTGCAATCACTGTTTCTGTTGTTTGAGCTGTTGTCGCAAAATGATTTTGCATACAGACCGTATGAAAGCAGCTGTGGGGGCACGGATGAGATTCGTACACAGTCCAAGCACTGATTGATGCTTTTGCTGCTACCCCCCAGCAGTGCTTAGTGGCCTAGCCCTAGAGGTCAGTGCTTAGCGACCCCAAACGATAAACCCGGTTTAGGGGTTTAGGGTTTAGGGTTTAGGGGTTTAGGGTTTAGGGTTTAGGGTTTAGGGAAAGTCCATGATTGCCCTGTCAAAAGAAGGCCCCGGTGTAAATCATTTGAGGAGGGACTTTTTTCGAGGAAGCCTACGAGGTTTCTGCATTCTGTAGTAGTTGAAAAACACCGTGTCTCTATCAGGACATCAGAGAAGACCAACCAGCAGCACTCCAAACCCTAAGCCCCAGAAGAAGATAGTGCTCAACCGTCAACCGGCAGTTCCAGTTGAAGCCATGGTCGCTTGACCTCAGCAGCAGATCTCCGCTTCTTGTGCGTCGAGGCCTGAATGCGACTACTAGCCGAGCCCTAAACCTTAAGCCCTACAGTGCAGCCTAAACCCTCCACCCAAGACCCCAAGCCTAAGCTGTGCCGCTTGATGCATGGTCCTACACCCTATCCTAAGGCCTGAGGAATCATCCTTCAAGCTTTCGGGCCCAAGGACCATACCAAGTATGGCTCCTGTGTTCATGTTAAGCCTTTCAGGTCAAGCTCTACGCCCCGAACTCTCACCCTGTTGCCTTTCAAGCCCCAAGCCCCGAAACCTGCAGGATAATACAGCATAGTATCACCGGAGAACCGTGTGCACATGTGTAAGTGTAAGTGTATGTATGTATGTATGTATGTATGTATGTATGTATGTATGAATGTGTGTATGTATGTATGTATGTATGTATGTAGGTAGGTATGTATGTTTGTACGTATGTAATGTATGTAATGTATGTATGCATGGATGTATGCATGTATGTATGTTTAAATGCATGCATGTATGTATATTTGTATGTTTATGTATGTGTATATGTCAGTATATGTGGATGTATGCATGTGTGTACATGTACATAAAAGACAAAAACTAACACATTAATATGCAGGTGTATACATACATATACATATGTATATATATATATATATTGTTTTAATATATTGTATCATTTGTTATTATACTGTTAGATGGGGTTATAGCACATCATGTTATAGCATAGTATAGTATTTTTGTATAGTATATAGTATAAAGTAAAAAAAAAAGTATATGGCATATAGAATATAGAATATAGTATATCGTGTAATATATTATTGTAAAGTTATAGTTGGAGTGACCGTTACACTCGGAGTGAATGCTAGACCTATGGTGATTAGTTATACTTATATTATAGCTGTAATCATTGTATAATACGCTGTACTGCATTGCAGCATCTGGTTTATTTGTTTTGTTATGCTATGCAATGATGTGCTATGTTGTGTTCTGTTATGTCACGATATGTAGTTTGATGTTGTGTTATGTTATGTAAAATTATGCTATGTTCAACTGTATTCGATTCTATGTTATTGT